TCACAGGAGCAGGAATGATATAGGACCGTGATGGCGAACCTATGGCACGCATGCCTGAAATGGCACACGGAGCCATGTCGCTTGGCACGTGCAGCGATGCCCATTCCTCTTCTGGGTTTCTGGCGTGCATGCGCCCGTGATGATCAGCTGGCCTTCATGCATGCGGCAGTGCCAGAAATTGGAAGAACTGGTCTTCCGTTTTCCAGCGTGAGCATGCGCGTCAGGCAGCTGATCATCGCACGCGCATGCGCGCTAGTAATCGGAAGACTAGCTGGCCGGCACGCATGCGCGTGCTGGGAACCAGCAGTTCATTTTCTGGTGCGCGCATGCCCCCTGGGCAGCTCCTCTTTCAGGCTGCCAGACTAGCACGCATGATGCCGAAAAGGTTCACCATCACTGTTACAGGAGTTCCTGCTAATAACTACCTGGTCCAGAGCTGCAGGGTTTTGCAGGGTTTCCTCTTGAGCAGGGGGTCTCCAACCTTGGCAACTTTACGACTTGGGGACTTCAACTCCCAGAATTCCTCAGCCAGCACATGCTCTGGAGTGTCTACTGAACCAACAGTTAGCTTGCAAAGCTTTGTCAAAATCCCGTGACATTTTGAGAACACAGGGCATGGTGCTAATTCCCAATCAATGCAGCCTTTGTGCTTGGAATGTGTGCTTTGTCATTCCAAATGTCTTCCAGTGTTCAGCTTCATGTGGAGGGGGCACTCAGAAAAGGCCCGTGCAGTGCATCAGGGTGGACGACCATGGAACCAAGGAGGAGAATTGGTGCGAGCAGGAGACCAAGCCTCCAGATTCTCAGAGATGCAACCTACAAAAATGTGTGAAAAATATTGGTGAGTATATTCCAGCAAAGCTCTCTCTAAGAAAACTATCCTGGATTCAAAATTGCAGGCAGCTCTATATTACAAGCCGGTCCATTGGAGACCTTCTGGTGTTGTTCATTACAAAGAGCAAATACTTTCATTAGTTGATAGATTTTTGGATTAATCTCTGACTTTAAGGATGGGAAGGAATCTCAAGAAAAGGTTATTGGTATGCATTTTTAATATATGTGTATGAATTTGCACGTCTAAACACTGGCTGTGTCCATAGAACTTGTTATGGAAATAACCATTGTCTGAGTTCATGTTATACATCAGATCATAAAAAATTTCATTAGGGGTGTGTGTGTGTGTGTGTGTGTATCTTTCCCAAACAGCCTGAGAGCACTAAGGGACATGGTGGTTCAGTGGCTAAGACGCTGAGCTTATCGATCAGAAAGGTCGGCAGTTACGTGGTTCGAATCCCTAGTGCCGCGTAATGGTGTGAGCTCCCATTACTTGTCTCAGCTTCTGCCAACGTAGCAGTTCGAAAGCATATAAAAATGCAAGTAGAAAAATAGGGACCACCTTTGGTAGGAAAGTAAAGCGCTCCATGCACCTTTGGTGTTTAGTCATGCCAGCCACATGACCACGGAGACCTCTTCAGACAGCACTGACTCTTCGGCTTTGAAANAGGCATGATTGACAGCATTTTAACAAACCGCCTCACTTTCATTTAGTGGTAGCAGTGCCTCAGATAGAAAGTCCATACAGAGAGTAGTGAGGACAACCGAGATTATAGGAAGCTTGAAGCATTGTTAGAGACCCCACACCCCCGCTTTACGGTCTGTTTCTGCCCTCTGGGAGGAGGTTTCAAAGTATTTCTAGCAAGACTATCAGATTCTGTAACAGCTTTGTTCCTTATGCAAGCTGTCTGGTAAACCTGCAATATTACTTTTTCTCACCATGTACACCTGAACTAGCCTATGTTGTTTCTCTGTGTCATATAATATATGTGGGTGCATGCATAATATTTGTTTGTTTGCTTATATTTTTTCATGTTCATGTAGTGTATATTGGAGGTAGTGATCCTTTGAGAGCTGTATGCAATGAAATTTCATTTTAATGTATGCCAATTAGTGTATGTTTAAAGTGACAATAAAGTTATTCTAAATCTGTTTCTCTAAAACCTCAAAGAGATAAGCAACAGCTGGGCAACGCTATTTAATTGCCCTGAAATTGTCCATGCTGCTTCATTAATTAATTTGACATATTTGCAGTGAAGTGCAAAATATGAAATAATCAATTTCACTTTGCTCAGTAGCGTTCTCAAGCATTATGAATTTCTTTGTGACAGCATCCCAGAATTTCCCAGAGTTATAATTTGTTACCTAATAAGTAGCTTCCAGCATTTAAATGCAAAACACTGCACACAGACTTGCTCTAAAGGTCTCTAAACTTGATAAATAAATAAACCTTTGCATAATCAAACAAGCAAAACATGGACATTTGTTTTCTTTGCTTTTTCCATATTGCATCGACAGTTGTAAACAACATAAGACAATGTGAATACGTACCTCAGTCCAGTTTCCCACCAACCAATAGGCATTAATATGCAGGTTTGGGTGGGGTTCTGAATCAGAGTCATTTAGTAACCTTGTTTTGAAAACATTCGTCCTGTTCTTTGGCATAGTGGTGTATTGCACAAATGTACTTTCTGTAGCCCAAGGGGAGGTTTCACTGAAAGAGGGCTTGGATGGGGTTGTATAGGAAGATTGTTCTTCTAATGTATCCTCTAGTGTTGGTTGTTCTGTAATGGGATTTGAGGTCACAGGTGGATTTATTTGTACATGAAGGCCTTTGAGATCTGTGGTTGCCAATGAAACCTCCATTCCTTTTGTGGGAGTAGCAGAAAATTGGTTGAGATTATTTGGCCGATCATCTGTATATGAGGTCCCTGAGATCTTGCTTGTGGTGAATGTGAGGAGCCTCTCTGTTGGTCTTTCAGTCTGGATGTAGTCTTTTAGTCCTCTCTCAGTAGTGTTGGGTGCTGTGTCATTTGCTTCCATTAAATAATTAGTCTTTGGATTGTACATGGGGTCAATGGTAAAGGAATCCTTGTTTATGGAGCTACCTTCTGAAGATAGGTTCCAAGCAGTTACGAGAGGTCCATGAGTGATGTTTTGCAATGCCCTATTGGCACTAGTTACACAGGAGTAGTTGCTGGGTAGGCTTGAGTGAATGGAACTATTTTGCAACTTTTTCACTTCCAAGTCTTCATTTGGAGAAGAATTTACAAGGCTTACGGAAGTGGGCGTCAAAGTAAGGTTTCTGAGCCTGGGTATTGTTGTTGAGTGGATTCTTGGCAATGGTTCTGGGGTGGCCAATTTTTTTGAAGGGCCTCTTCTGGGAATAGCCCCTATTCTTCTAATAATCTTTCCATTAGGGAGCTTGAAACGAGTCATCAGCAATCGTTGAGCGGATAGGCATTGCTGTAAACCACACAGCGCTTTAGAATGGGGCTTCTTCGAAACGTCACATGGTTCCCCATTGTTTTTTGTACAAGTGACATAACGAGTGCGTACTCCTCCACCACAGGTAACTGTACACTGGAAAATAAACCACAGTTAGATATCTCATCCTCTCCATCTCCATTCAGCCAAATACAATACAATACAATACAATACAATACAATACAATACAATAGCAGAGTTGGAAGGGACCTTGGAGATCTTCTAGTCCAACCCACTGCCTAGGCAGGAAACCCTATACCATTTCAGACAAATGGCTATCCAACATCTTCTTAAAAACTTCCAGTGTTGAGGTATTCACAACTTCTGGAGGCAACTTCTGTTCCACTGATTAATTGTTCTAACTGTCAGGCAATTTCTCCTCAATTCTAAGTTGCTTCTCTCCTTGATTAGCTTCCATTCTGTTTATTATTATAATAAAATGGGTCGTAAGTTCATGACAAAAACTAATCAAGAGGAAAGACATCTAATGAAACGCATACTATCCAATAAATTGCAAAATAAGAGACATCACTTTTCATTTTTTCACAACCCCTCTCAACTTGTCATCCCCCAAATCAGAATTCCAATTTTCCCACATCCAGCTGGCCCGAGATATTTTGTTCCTTGTGTTGAACAAGATTGCCTCACATATCCTGTCATTCCACCTTCAGAAGCTGGTTGGACTAAGAAATGATTTTTTCCCCAACACTAAGCATTGTGAACTACAAATAGTCCTCGACTTATCACCACAATTAAGCCCAAAATTTATGTTGCTAAGCGAGACAGTTCAGTGAATTTTGACCTATATTATGACTTTTCTTGCCACTTCAGTTGTTAAATTAGGAACACGGTTGTTAAATGAGCCTGGCTTCCCCATTGACTTTGCTCACCAGAAGGTCGCAAAAGGTGACCCCATGAGCCTGGAACAAGTGGGACACGGCAACTGCCAAGCATCTGAATTTTGATCACATGACCATGTGGATACTGCAATGGTCGTTAAGTATGAAAATGGACATAAACCTATTTTGCTTTTTAAATGCAATGTGTGAACCTGGCTCTGGATTAGATTAGATTAACAAAATTGGAAGGGATCTTGTAGGTCATCTAGTCCAACCCTCCGCCCAAGCAGGAGACCCTGCACCATTTCCCATAAATGGCAGTCCAATCTCTTCCTGAAAGACTCCAGTGATGATGTTCCTACAACTTCCAAAAGGAAGCTCTTCCATTGGTTGGTTGTTCTCATTGTTAGAAAATTTCTCCTTATTTCTAGGTTGAATCTCTCCTTGTTCAGTTTCCAGCCATTATTCCTTGTCTGGCCTTCAGGTGCTTTGGAAAATAGCTTGAC